ATGTGCTTAATTGTTAATTTAAAATGATGTGATGATACATATATAATTCACTACGTCCCAATTTGATGATCATGTATTTCAAAATTAGACTGTCCCAAAATGATGGTCTTCTTCCCTTTGAGTAAAAAACTTAAAGTGAATTCTCGTATATACCTTAATTAATTCCTCCCAACCAGTCCCATGTTTCTCTTCTGTATGTCTGCTTTTATCCTTCCCCACTCACTCTGTGTAATCCGCTCCTCTCCAATTCTTCATCTCTGTTTTTGAATCTTTGTTCTCATCTCATCTGTCCGCCACATCTCTGTCTTCATCCCTTCGCCCTGAAACTATACAAACAGCATCGAATCATAGCCTTGAGCCCGTTGAAACCACCATTGATGTTGATGAAGAGACAAAGGACGACGAAGATGTAGCAGAAAAACTAGGAGACAAAAGCGTGAAGTGTCACCTAAAGACACACCATGGAGAAGGATGATGCCAAGACGATTGCGATTACGGAAGAAACTCCAGAGCTACGCACAAACCAATGGGAGGAGGACCCCATGGAAAAAGCAGTGGCGATGAGGGAGTAGTCCATTATCTAGCTGGCAATGACAAACTCGTTGCTTAGTTGAGAATCGGTACCAAGAAAGCAAAATGAAAATAAGGGCAAATATGGAATCTCCGTTCTTAATCTCTGTCCCAAAAGAAATGAGACCATCAAATTGGGCCGGGGGTAGTTAATAAGTTATCATTGAAAAAATATTAATTACTTAACGTGGATATTATATGGACTTCATGTTGCCTACTTTTCTTTTGGTGGCATGATATTTAGACAAGGAAAGAGAAAATCATTTTCAAAAAAATGTTGTGTTCATTTTCGAAATGAAGAATGTTTATCCAAATTTATTAATATAGTATAGTATGATGTTCGGAACTGAATCCAAATGATATGATATTCAACCCCAATATCAGACTATAAATCATTTGAGACTTCATACATTGGTATGAGCTTTGATCATTATCCAATCCTAATCCTATACATAAAAGCAATACTAGAATTTTACGTTCATTGAATATATAGTACTCCCGCCTAAAGTTGCGAGATATCTTAATTGTTCACTCAACTACATCTTTCACCGTTATTCTGGATTCATCCTGTCTCTGAATCATCCCTTTGTCTGCCATCAATTTTCCGACTTCTCCCACCGACTTCCAGCATAACGTCGAGAGTATCTTAGTGCTCCGCTCAAATACTTCTCCATTGTTTGTTCGCCTCATGAGCCTATTCCATTCATTCTCATCTCTTTCTGCATTTGTCATCCTTCATCCGCTCGTAAAGAATATGATCGTTTCAATCAGGCTCCATGGCCATTCATCCTGATCACTCAATCAACCTCTTCCTCACATAAAACCTCACCGTCAATTCATCGTCCATTCAATGCAACATCTCATTTATCCCAAGTTAGTGCCCCCTTCTAAATCTCATCTTCCATAGCTGCCCTACCCCCGAAAAATCATCATATACATAAAAACAATACAAACGTTTACTGTTCATTGAATGGTACTCCTGGTTAAAGCTATGAGACATCTCAATCGTTCATTCAACTCCATCTTTCACCGTCATTTTGGACTCATCTCGTCTCGGCATCATCCCTTTGTCGCCATCCATTTTCTAACTTCCCGGCCGATTTCCAGCATAACGTCGAGAGCATCCCAGTGCTCTGCTCAGATACCTCCCTCCACTATTTGTTCACCTCATCTGGCTATTCTCATTCTCATCTCTTTCTGAATTTGTCGTCCTTCACCTGCCCATAAAGAATATGGTCGTTTCAATCGGCTTCCGTGGCCACTCATCCTGATCGCTCAATAAACCTCTTTCTCACTTAAAAACTCATTGTCAATTCACTGTCCATTCATTGCAACCTCTCATCTTTTTTTTGCAAGAAGAAAAGATTTTATTAGAAAAATGAGAGGAAATTACAAAAGCGTCGATGCTGATGTCGTGACAGGTGTGCCAAAGCGTTCCGTCAGAGGCTCTAGAAATGATACACTAGGCTCATTCTGTCTGGCATACTGCATGAAACTTGATGGACCAGGCTCCCCACAAGTTCTGCTCCTGTAACGAGGAATTGACGGCTCTGTCGGGGTAGAGGATAGAGTCATCGTAGGTATGCATTGGGTCGCCGAATATATGTTAGATCCATTTGATCTGACCCGAAGGGATTCCGGGAAAAAGCAAGCCGGAATATTGACTAGTGGTGTAGGTGACAGACCTAGCGTGAGGGAGACGGGATCCGTCACTGTTGCAGGTGGATCCGTCGATGTTGCAGGTGGATCCGTCGCAACTGGGGAGAAACAAAGATCCAGCCGTGTTGCGGCAGTCATTGTGTCACTCCTCCGGTTGAGTCTTGACTTTGAGGCTATTGATACCGCTGATTGCAACTGAGATCGAAGCACATTGTTTTCCCGTTGAAGATGGGCCATCTTCTCCGCCACTTCGCGTCGAAATTCCTCCCTAATCGTCTCTAGCTGCTCATGAAATTCAATCAACAATTGATTTGTTCCGGCCATAATCGATCTTTTTCTTGCACGATGCCCCACGGTGGGTGCCAAATTGTTTAAGCAAGAAATAACAATTTCTTCTAACAATCAATTAATCGGAAAAGGGATCGAGCAAGATAATGATCAATTGAAATAATAAACTGAAGCTATAATTAATTTGATGAATAATACTATCGATTACAAGAACTGATAGTGTATAGCTAAAAAATAATCCTCCTCCAGCCTTTGTTACTCCCTTATCTATTTATAATGATTTTTCTTCCTCATCGTGACTTCCCCAACCCGGCGAAATAGTAGGCTCCCACTTCGGCCGCATGCAACTATCTTCCTTTCTCTCCAAGTCATTTGTACTTATCCTTTCCGTTTGCTTCTCTTATTCAATTAGGCTTTGACTTCTCTTAGATGACTAGTTGTGGGCCACTTCAATGATGTGGATTTCCAGGCCCAACATCTGTTAGTACTTCGGTACCGATAAATGGGCTTTAGATGCCCAACTGGTTACTCACATAATTTCTATGGCCCAACGAGAGTATCCACAATTATACACATATTATCTAGACCCAGATGAATATAATATGTGGTCTTGATAATATCGGGCGGCCCCCACTCCCGGGGTGGGCCCCACGTGAATTTTACTATTCACGTAAAAGAAATGATAAAAATTTACAATCACGTAAAATGCGTTTATTCATTTCCCATGGTTCAATACATAATTTGATAAAGTACAAATATTTGGGGGCGATGTTACAACACATCGCCGCACAACTTCACTGCACCTCACCTCATCGCCACACCACATCGCCGCAGCCAGTGGCGGAGCCAGAAAAATGGCTCGGGGGGGTCGAAAATCAAAATATATACTGAATGAAAATGGTGAATCGTTTTTAAACAATATTGAATTGAATATTTCATATGCAGTTTAGATAAATCTGCACTCCTAGCAATAAGATATATTGTCTTTGCTCGGTTTCTGAGTCGTGTCACGTAAGTATTGAGTGAATTATATCTTATTTTTAAAATTTGGGAAAATAATCTATAGTATGCATCAAATTTTGCTGATTTTTCGTTTAGATAATGCTGATTTTCCAGAAGTCGTAACTTTTTACTCGTAATGAGTTACAGGGGCCATAATATATCAAATCGAAGATATTTTTCAGAGCTCTATGTTCTCAAACTTTCAGTGGGGTCGGCTGGTCACCCTGACCCCCCCTTGCCTCCGCCCCTGGCCGCAGCCCACCCACGATTTAACCTCCCTTCACGCACATGTTCACCTCCCCATCCCTGATTGAATATCACCTCCTAGGAGTAGAGATTTGCTATTCCAATTGCTCTTCTTCTAAATAAGATGTTTTTCCTCCCAATTAAAACTCTTTTATTATTTCCAACGGAGTAAAAATATAGCAATTAGGGTTCATCTCATAGATTTGGAAAGGATATTGTAGATGAAGCTTAGACTTAAAGCAACACTTAGATGCTGTAAGATTTTTACCATTAATTTTACTGTTAGCATGAAAAAGTCAATTAGAATTGTCTTTTCATTATAACCTTTTTAATTGAAGCTAGGAAAGCTTATTCGTCTTTTGTTTGGCAGAGAGGATTTTGGCTGAAATACGTGTTCTAGACAGAATCTGGAATGCCCTTCAAAGTGAGTTTATCTACATTTGTTATTTATTTATCCTAGACAACAAGTTGGCTACAATAATTTCTTTTCCAACTTTATTTACTTATAGCAGCTTTAATCTATTAGGGTAGGAAAGAAAAACCGAAAGACTTGAATCTACTTTGTTTTTCATTTTCTTATAACATGAATTTGTTTGCATGGTATTCCACCATTTTCTTATTTTATTGCTATTTTTATTTTGGTTGTTGTTGATCTGTTTTTTTGTGTTGTTTTTGCTTTCATTTGTAAGACTCTTACATTACGATCGGGTGAGTTTGGGTGTTTTTCAATCGTCTGTGGCTCAGGTTTGCCCATTAATTGATCAGCGAGTTATATTGCTTGTTTGAAGGTGATTAACTCCAAGTCTGGTTCGCGGGCTAATGGTTGGATGTGGCTCTTTACTCTTTTTACTCACATATCTTAATGGATATGTGAATTTGCATATTGCGTAAATGAGATTTGATTTTGCACCCCACTTTTTGGATGATATTAGACTTTGTACTCCATTTTGAAATACTTTGATTTTGCACACCATTTCACTCAAAAATCATTTGACTTTGCGACCCACTCATAAACTTTTCTTCACAAAATGTTATATGATGGGGTGCAAAATCAAAGTTTTTCCAAAATGGAGTGTCAAATCCAATATCACCCAAATAGTGGGATGCAATGTCAAATTCTCCTACCTAAAAGTTACAAAACCAAATATGAAATATTTCTTAGTATACTTTTTATCTCTTGCGGTTTTTGTATATTGGTGGTGAAGTATAAAAATAACTGATACTATGATAAATAATTATATACAAGTACTTCTCATAGAAACATAAAATGATTTTGTATTATATTTTTCAGATATACAATATCAAGATTACAAGAACTATTGTTGTTCAATCGATTACAATAATATGTACTTCGCTCTAAGCTAATTTACTCGTTAGTTGCTAGGTGACCAAAAGCCATGGAATCCCATGGGGAAAGTGAATTTGGCTGGAACTTCAGCTTTCGCCACTATTTCCTTACTTTTCCCAATCTCTTTTGCATCCAACACAACCAGATAACACCTATGTGTTGAAACCGCGTACTGCAAATTCACAATAAAAAATAGTCAATTCTTTGTTCATGTCACATAATCTTAATATTTCATTCAATACTATGACTGTTAGATAGTCTCTATTTTCAACTTACCAGCCTTATCGGCTAATTTTTATCAAACCCGTAATTTTTGAAGAAGTGGGTTGGATTATAAAATAATCAAAAGGGAGATTTGCAATTTTGGTCATATAACTTTCTGTTGTTATCGTTATTGGTCCTGTAACTTTAATCACTTGCAATTTTGGTCATGTAACTAATAAATCTTTGCAATTTAAAGATTTTTCCACCGGAAAGACATTTTCCGGCAGAAATTTCTAACGTCGGCGACATCTTTTCCTATATACTATCGCCGGAAAGTGTTCTTTTCAGGGGGGGAAGTCCTTAAATTGCAAATATTGATTACTTACAGGACCAAATTTGCAAGTGACCAAAGTTATATATGACTGAAATTTACAGGACGAAAATTGCAAATTTCCTTAATCAAAAATAAGGTAAAGATACTTTAGAGTACTAAAGTAATACTCACTTCCACAACAAGAAGATAGCCATCATCTTCATCTTTGGTTCCTTTGGGAACAAACACAGGCTCACCAATGAATCGTCTCCTGCCTGAAGACCATGTTTGGGTGGTCTTATTTGCTGTGTTTAGTTTGACCACCGTATCAAAAGGGAAATGCGGTAGCGCACGGCGCGAGCCGGATGATGTCGCCGCATAAACGCATGAATTTTTCCTGCCTGAAAAGTCCGGATGAATGGCTGGGAAATCTGCCGCTTTGCCCCATTCATTCAAATCATTCACCGATGCATTTTGGCAATCACCATTTCTATCCAAACTTATGGACACCTATATCATCAAATTGGTAGTATTTGAGTCTAAAACTTTCAAATAGAAGTCATAAACTAGTTAGGCTCTGTTTGCAAGTGATTGTGCTTAAATAAAAGCACTTTTTGGGAAAAAGTGATTAGTAGTAAAAGTTGGTAGTGTATGATAAAATAAGTGCCTTTTGTGTAATAGAAAAGGTAAAAAGTAGATTCTACACGAAAACCGAGAAAGTAAAAGTTGGTATTGTTTGGTAAAATAAGTGTTTTTTTCTTAAAAAAAGCCAAAAGCACGTAAATTAATTGTTTGCAAACAAAGCCTTACTCCATTTGTCTTGAAAAAATTCGTCAAATTGACTTTGACCAATGATATTTTTTAATACTCCCTCCGTCCCGAAAACAACTTCCCGGTTGGACTTTCACACACTTTTAGGAAATAAATTTGACTTTACTGTAGAATGCACTGTTTTGCACTGTTTAAACACTGTTTAGCACTGTTTAAACACTGTTTGACACTGTTTATCACTTTTTTTATGTAAATAATTTGCCAAATAAGGAAAGTATTGAAGTGTGAAATTAATTTTGGGACATCCATTTAAGGAAAGTGGGAAGTTGTTTTCGGGACGGAGGGAGTATGAAATTATTTAGAATGTAAAAATTATATATGTCAAAATGTTCTTTCCTTATTCAAACTATTTTCATAAAAGTAAAATTTATAAATTACATATTAATTTAATAATTAAAATTATTGTGTAAATCTCCTCTTCTCATCACTGATCAAGAAAAATTAACGTGACAAACTTTTTGGGAACGGAAGTAGTAATTAATAGTGCAAGAGTTTGTAAAGGAAATACTACCTTGTATAGGTGAGGCAAGAGTTTATCTTCGCCCTTTCCCCTATTCATCATCGAGGGGTCCAATATTCCATTTTTCCAATCATATCCTGCACATTGGAAGTAATTAAACACGTAGTAATAAACAAAAAATTAAAATCAAAATTAAAGTGGTAACGTTGCAGATGATTTCAATCAATAGTGCTTCTACTGATCACAAAGTGATGTTCTTATAATTAACTTAACAATATATAAATACCACCCCGTACATATATTGCAAAAATATCATCATATCAATCACAACTATTACGAGTAATAAATATTGCGTACTATGTTAATGTACATATTACACATGCTCATTATAGTATGTGAGTATGTGACTCCTATTAGTCATGTAACATTATTTGTAAATCACACCCGGAGTTTCTTATAACTAATAAATTTGTCAACAAAATGTATACTTGTCTCCTCTTAATATTTATACTTTTAATATGTTCAAGCAAGTATTTTTTTTAGAATTAAAATAACTACTTCTGTTTATGCACTTTATCTGTATTCTAATCCTATTTGAATCTATTTTATACGAGGATAGTACACTATATAGACAAAAAGATTGACATTAATCTAACATACCGAACATTTTCTGGAAATTGAACCATCGATAAGAACAGGCAGAAGCCTGGATTTGAAGCTCAAGATTTCCAGTTTTCTCATCTTTGTGCTCAAAGGCATTTCCGACATGTAATACCCACATCTGCAATGGAACTTCAATGGGTGTTTTCCAGTCTCTGTGGGTTGTTTGGCTCTGAGGAAAGCGAGGAAGCAAATAAACAGGAGATGTTTGTTTGCTTGGATTCACGGATAGTGCAGATATCATTGGAGAAAGCCCACAAACAGCCCTCATCGATCCTGCATCGCACCGGCCCGTTATTATCACTAATAAAACTATGTCGTTTTTTTACTTTCTATGACGTATTTGCAATTGCAATTTTTCACTAGCGCGGTAAAATACATAATTTGTACCTTTATTATAAGGGGTAATTTGAATTTGCACCTCATTTTATTGTCCAAATTAGACTTTGCACCCCGTTTTTAAAAATATTTGTTTTTACACCCTTACCCCGTATGAAAAGACAAGGAGACAAAGAAATGGATCATAAACAATTTTATACTATCGTATTATGATTTATTATTTTATATTAATCCAGTGTGAAGAAAATATTGAAAAGCTTTACTGGCGGGATAACGTCATAATATCCCGAACAACACACATAATATCCGTTTTGGTTTAATTTGGCGCAATATTGTCCAGCACTCCAACATACTACGTATTTATATAAATAAAGCTAAGGATTGTGTGGTTAAGGTTATTCTATTTATTTTTTATTTGAAAAGAAATTGTTCTTAAAATATTATCAAAAAGTATGGAAAAATTGTGACTAAATTATCCATAAGTACACTTTTATAATGATTCTGATGTGAAATTTTAATTCACATTGGTTTTGATCGCGCGTGTTTATAACTTTCTTAAAAGAATGCAAATAACTTTCTTCAAATATAAAGTTTAGAATTTTATGAGAGAGTGTTATTATATACCGATCGAGTAATTAATAAAGGGGTGTTTGGTTAGGAGCCTACCGGCCACTTTTTTTAGTTGATTTGACTATTATTATCCTCTTGACTATATCAATCATCTAATTAGAGTGTTTGCTTATCCCCCAACTTTTATAGTTGGCCGTTCTATATGGTAGATTCTATGATACCCAAAATGTATCATACCTTTGTTCACTTGGACCAATCGGAATGTTGCAGTTGAATTATTTAAATCTAAATTAAAATGATGTAATGATTTGGACCAATCATGTGAGTGTTAGGTACGGTACCTCATTTTTTAAATAGGTACCAGAGTTGTCACCTATTCCTATACTGCCCCATTTCTTTTTCGTATCATCATACTAATTAAATCTGTCAATTCATGAAAACAAAATTAGAATAATTATTGCATGTGTTAATATATACATGCATTTATATTTTTTAAAATAATTAAAATGATTTAAGTAGTTGTACTAATTATATATATACTGATAAAAATAATATCCGATGTCTTTAAAAGTCATTTAATTAGCGATCAACTATTTGTAAATAACTGTATAACAAAACACTACTTTACACCCTAATCAAAACAACCAACAAAATCTGATGTTACCAATCAGTCAAAAGCCAACAGTCAGTTACTAAACCGCCTAAAACCAACCAGAATGGACGTGGAATACCAAAATGGGAGAAGAATTTTGTTCACCCCCTCAAAAGAGGGTGAACATCACCCCATCCCTGTGGGCTGTCACATAGCATGACAATGCTTTTAAATTTTGCAATTGTTATAAGTTTTGCATTTTTTGTTCAATTTTTTCAAAAAATATATCAATATTTTTAATTTTTCGTGATCTTTCATATGATACTAATATTGTAAATGTAAAATAAAAAAACAACTTAAAATTGATGTAAGGAAAAAAGTTTTTTTTCAATTTTTTATATATAAAAAGTTATAGTGTATAAAAAGTTATTAATTCTGAAATATTTTTTATTTAAAATTAGATTATACATAAAAAGTTATAGTGTATAAAAAGTAATTGAAGGGAGGAACAAAATACAATTGGTTCAACTAACTATTGTAGACGCACTACATACCTGGAACATCGAGTTTGATGCGATTGCCAAACAACACGTAATGATAATCAGTGAGCGCCCAATCATGGATCATTAGGTGATCTGGGATGCTAAACTCTTGTTGGTCTAGTAACTTGAAGTTGGCATCAAATTCTGGAGATGAATTAACAACAAATTAATAAATCAATATATATAGAGGCCATTTGGCAATACTGTTTTCAGCTTATCAGATTTATCAGCCAACTTTTACACCAAACACGTAACTTTTGCTTTCGCACCCTGAATTGTTTAATAAGCAGAAAAAGTAAGGTTTAAGGTTGAAGTTACTTTTCTGGTTGTATTGACTGAAGTTACTGTAGGTGACCATTTTAGTTATATTTTACATATATTTTTTTCTTTATTTTAATAATAAAATATATTTTAAAAATATTTTTTTCTTAAATCAGCAGAATCAGCCAATGCAGCCACTTTAGCCAGATTTTCATAAATTTCAGCAGAATCAGCCACAACAGCCGATTTTCGTGCTACCAAACGGGCTCATAATGGGTTCCTACATTTTGCATCAAAAAAAAATTGAATTCTTCATTTGAGTGGCATCATTAATTAATTAAACTAATAACGATGTTCTCCTTCTAATAAAAAGATGATAAAGTTTTGCAATATACGAGAAAGATAAGTGAAGGTATGGAAAGGTGTAGAATCTGTGACACCGGCCTTTTGGCAATAATGTTTTTCAAATTATCATTCTTATCATCAAATTTTATCATTATAGACGTACGTTTTGATTACGCGTGTTGAATTGTGTAATAGTAAAAATAAGTAAGGTTTCAGTTACTTTTTTTATTATTTTGATAGAAGTTACTATAGAGAACCATTGTAGTTATTTTTTCATATAATTTTTTCTTTATTTTATTAATAAAAGATATTTTAAATATAATTTTTTTTTTCAAATCATTAGAATCAGCCTATCTACATTGAATATCATAATAGCGACTTTAATCGGTCTTACATGAGTAAGATTCACTATTTTTGTCATTTATTCAAATAAAGAAGCACCAAGTAAATTACTAACCGTAGAATGTGAAAGTGCTCCGCGGGAGTAACATATCTTCTGCGTCGCATGACATTATGACAAGTCTGTTTCTAATTCCATCTATCTTGTAGTGTGACAAAAATCTCTTGGGACTCATCTTAAATACTCCTGCAATACAAATCAACTATCAGCATATATAGTGGCAAGTGCAAGAGGCAAGAATTAGGGAATTTAGCTAGTGAAGATGATTACATTCAAATTTGCATAGCACTAACCATGTTGATATACAAATATTAATTTCAATTCCGATAGTATATTTTATTCGTAAATTTTGCTTCAACTATATTTTAGAAAATTTCAAATAAGAATGACTAATAATTATTCTTGAGGAATTCATAAGTTTTGTCTATGAATGAACATTATTTCCGTTTTCGGTAAAAGCTTAGTTACACCATTTTTATTTTCTCAGGAGTTCATGAAAAAACACTAACAATTGAAAAATGAAAAACAGTTTAGTTATGTTATTAAATTGCCCTAGACTTCGGCTTCGATATGGTTAGGTGCGTAGCTAGGGGGCAACCCTTGTTACGGTCCAGACCAAATTTCAAAAATGTCTTTATTTTTAATGTAAAAATTTTCGTGAAAAATAAAATTAAAAATGTTATTTGTACCGGCCCAATGTCCTGTCTCTCTCCTTGATATGGTTACTTTTCAAGAAAATGAATATACCGACTTACATACATTGTACGTACCATAAAGAATTGGCCTCAAAATTTGGGCAGCTACGTCCCAGAAATTTGCCATATGCGGCTTAGGAGTTTTATGGGCAACAGAATTAGTGTTATTGTTGACGAGTTTGAACTTGCCGATCGTTTGGAGACTAGTAGAATCAATCTCGTAAGGATCGCCACCTTCCCACAGGCAAAACAACCTCCCACCCCACTCCATAACACTAGTGTTGGCCACATTCTTCATCACCTTAGTATTCCCAATCATTTTCCCTCCTCTCAAAACCGAAAACGGGCCCCGGTGCGTGAATCGCCACTGGCCCGTTTCGATATCTCGCTCCTCTTCATGCGCCTCTGTCTGAATGTACCGCGACCTGAATGTGACCTGGCCCGTCGCGGTATCTATTTGGAACGCCCTAAGGTACCCGTGCCCGTCTAGCGGATGCACGGTCGAACCATGGTCATCGGTGAATAGGCCTGGCCCGGTCAAATAATAGGTTCCGGATGGAAAGTCGGATGGTATCGCGCCCTCCACCACCCGGAGGGCGACGGGTTCAACGGCTTCGGACCGTTGCGACACGAACAAAGATTGGTAGTCCCGGAAAGCGGTCACTCGGTCATCTAACAAGTCCGGGTTATCTAGCACATCAGGTATCGGGGCTCTAGTTGTGGTGGGAATTGAGATCGCTCTTGATACATGGCGACTTATTAGAGGCAATGACACTTGGGCTGTTGCCGTCGCTGCCGCCCCCACCGGGAGTTTAACTGGATGTGAAAACTTTGGAGGTGTAATAGTACTGTTATTGTAATGGGAATAGCAAATCGTGGGCTGCATTTTACCTTTGTAGGTAATGAAAATTTGAAAATGATAGGATGGCGTTACAATGAAGCTTATTGTAGTGAGTTATGATATGGTGATGGAAAGCATTAATAAGGTCGTTTGCTATATATATAGACAAATATTGATGGGAGGTACAAATTTCCTTTTAAAAAATTATTTTATTTAATTTATACCCCGAAAAAACAACGGACAGCCCAATAGTTCCATATCTGGCTTCCTCTCAAGTCTCAACGGGTGATACTTCACAATAAAAGTACAAATAAGAGGAGCTAATTATTCCCAAAAATGTTATCAACCTCAAATTATCGAAAACAGTTGATTTGGTGAGTTTTTAATCCAATGAACGAGAAATGATAATCGAATCATGTATTCATTCATGTGCACAATTCAACCGGATTTCATTAGCTGTCATATTTTTGTAAGTTTGATCGAAAAAACTCTGTACTAGTTATAAAGTCATGAAAATTACAAACCGCAAGTATTACCGACTAATAAAAACAATTGATCAATCAAACTTTGTTTGTTAAAGGAATGGGATAATTTGAATTTGCACGTCATTTATCGTCAAAATTGGACTTTGCACCCTGTTTCTAAATTTTTTGTTTTTGCACCTCCAATCCATGTGAAAAGACAAAAATACACCTCCATTAACAATTATGTTGGCCTTCAACAGATTCCTAAACTAATTACCCAATAATGCTAACATAGGGTTAAAGTTTTTATGTTCCCAAAATATGAATAACATAGGGCATACTAACAGAGATATTTTTTCAGTTTTCCAGAAAACTGGAAGACTGGAAAAAGGAAAACAAATTATTTTATTTAATTTATACCCCGAAAAAACAACGGACAGCCCAATAGTTCCATAATCCGTATCTGGCTTGCTCTCAAGTATCAACGGGTGATATACTTCACAATAAGAGCATCTCCAATGCTAAAACGTTAACGGTGCATACGTGGCATCAGAAATAACCAATTAAAAAACAATAAATCCAATATCTCTCTCCTTCTTTCCACGGTCTTATGTGTTTATGGTAAGTTTTTGTCTGCAATGTCAATCACAATGTCTACATCTTGACATTCTGCTTGACATTGTAAAGAAAAACTTATCAAAATGATGTAAGATCCTTCAAATAAGGAGAGAGATATTATATTTATTGTTTTTTAATTGGTTATTTTTCATGCCACGTATGCACCGTTAACGTTTTAGCATTGGAGATGCTCTAAGAGTACAAATAAGAGGAGCTAATTATTCCAAAAATGTTATCAACCTCAAATTATCGAAAACAGTTGGTTTGGTGAGTTTTTAATCCGATGAACGAGAAATGATAATCGAATCATGTATTCATGTGCACAATTCCACCGTATTTCATTAGCTGTCATATTAATGTAAGTTTGATCGAAAAAACTCTGCACTAGTTATAAAGTCATGAAAATTACAAACCGCAAGTATTACCGACTACTAAAAAACAAAGGAAAATGGAAACTAATAATCCAACCTTTTAGCGGTCTTCTTACAATAGTCCTACCTTTTCGTTATTCATGAATAATCTAACTTTTGCACCCCATCTTCATTCACTGGTACCTGACCGGTTGATGACCTGTTATTCCAAGTTATTTTCTTATCTTTGCAAACCATTATATCATGAATCTCACCTTTCACAAAGATAATACTATCGTATTTTGTAAAAATAAGAAAATAACTTGAAATAACAAATCATTAACCGGTCAGGGACCAACGAATGAAGATGGAATGTAAAGGTTGGATTATTCTTGAATAACGAAAAGGTGGGACTATTGTAACAATTGATAAATCAAACTTTGTTTGTTAAAGGAATGGGATAATTTGAATTTGCACATCATTTTATCGTCAAAATTGGACTTTGCACCATGTTTCTAAAATTTTTGTTTTTGCACCTCCAATCCATGTGAAAAGACAAAAATGCACCTCCATTAACAATTATGTTGGCCTTCAACAGATTCCTAAACTAATTACCCAATAATGCTAACATAGGGTTAAAGTTTTTATGTTCCCAAAATATGAATAACATAGGGCATATTTACTAACAGGTATATTTTTTCAGTTTTCCAGAAAACTGGAAAACTGGAAAAAGGAAAACAAAAGGCGTGTTTACCAAAAAAATGATGGAAAACTAGAGAAAGAAAAACAGAAAAATGTGTTTACCAAATCGTTTTCCAAAACAAAAAAATGAGATATATCTTTATTTTTCTTAATGAATTAGAGAATTGACTTCTACTAGTATTCCAAATTTGAAAATTGTGGATGTTGCAGTGTCGCTGCAATGAATTTACATACTTACGCCTAGTGGTGACGCCGGTCCCACTTGGGTGTAATTTCCGGTCCAGTCTGGTCTATGACCTAATGGTCCCTATCCAGTTCGGTCAACAACCTAGCGGTCCATGTCTAGTATGGTCAACGATTCAGCGGTACTGTCATGTTCGGTCAACTGTCGGGCAGTCCCGGACTGCTCCGGTCGATGGTCGGGTAGTCCTGATCCTGTTCGGTCGATGTCCGGGCAGTGAGGTAGTCCAGTCGGGTCCGATGAATAATTCGTCGATCCCTGTCTGGTCAGATCAATGATTCGGTGGTCCCCGTCCGGTTCGATCAACGACCCGATGGTCCCTTTAAGGTTCGATAAACGACCTGGCGGTACATGTTTGGTCCGTTCGATGGATAATCAATCCCAGTCCGATCTGATCCAGTCAAAAACTCGGCGGTCCCTAATCAATCAAGTCAATGACTCGGCGTCCCTCTCATGTCTGGTCAACAACCCGGTGGTCCTCGTCTTGTCTGGTGAATGCTATGATTGTCCCTGATGGTCTCTGTTTAGTTTCGACGACGACGACCGAGCGGTCTCATTCGGTCCAATCAAGTATTCGACGGTCCATGTCCGGCCCGGTTGACGACCTGGCGGTTCGGTCCCCGTTTTGTTAAATTATTTTTCCAACCAATAGGAAAAAGAATTAATCAAACTAGCCGTTGAGACTGACCGAGACTGGGTACCTTAATAGTGTACTACTAAGTTCGGTTGTGAACTGTGACCATACCTTCGGTCCAGGGCCGGCCCAGGGCGTGTGCCACCAGTGCGACCGCACAGGGCCCATGAATTCTAAGGGCCCAAATTTTCACTAACCCTCCTATTATTATCCACAAGTAGAGCCCAATATGTAAGATTGTATGCTTCATTAAAAATTTAAACAACAGAGGGATTCGAACCCTGGCAATTTTTCAGACGTGAGGACACCCAACCAGCTGAACAATTCGGTTGATGCTAACATTCTTCGAATTTGCGTTTTTATACTAGGTCTCATACAATTATTGATAAAACTCATAAGGTATTAAGCCTTATACCATCAACTACAATTATTGATATATTAATTTGTAATAATAATAATAACTATTTTTATTTCATGCCATTATTAAATCAAAAAACTATTGGATATGTATGAAATATTCATTACGTCTATCAATTGTATTAATATTTTTTATATAAATATTTCCTTGACAACTTATCCATTTAATTCCAAACAGTCAAACACATCTTAAATTTATTCTATTTTAGATAATGATACATTAATTTTCAATTTAATCTTATAACATTATTAATCTTCACTTATATTACTACGTATATTTTTACCTATTTTTAGGAAAAGGCCCGCTTTTTATTTTTTGCACAGGGTCCGTATTTTCTCAGGACCGGCCCTGCTTCGGTCTTCCGGTCAGTCACAGAACCGGATGAAAAAATTTGATGAACATGTTTTCATATTTTAAAATGGAAAACTAGAAACTAAAAACATAAAATTGGAGATAGTTAAATGCCTAATGCTATTTATTCTTTTTGCTTTTTAAAGTACGTATAACGTCGGTTTTTTTCAAAAACTCACGTTTTATGTATTTTTGTTTTTTAATTAAATCGTTTTACTTGGTTTACGAGAAAAACGATGTGGTAGATGCTACTCATTAAAAAACGATTACTTCTTACATCGGTTTTCTGATATAACCGACGTGGTAGGTCTTAGTTATTAACCGATGTGGTAACTAAACTACGATGTCGGTTTAGTGAGCGATGTAATATGATATTAACTATAATGTCTCTACTTTACAAGTCACTTTTAAAATCAATATGAAAGGGTATAAATAACCGCCACGAAAACCCTCTTTTGTTGTAGTGTGGAGAACAGACTAGAAAACAAAAAATTGGAGAACGGAAAACAGAAAAGAAACCTGAAAAATATCTCTGTTAGTACTACATATATTGTATATATAATAAGCAAATTATATTTTATGTATATTAAAAACACAAAAATTGTAAAATACTATGTATATTGTATATATAATAAAAATATAAAAAAAAGAATTAAAATTTAAAAAAAAAAGATAAATAAAAAATAAAAATATTATATATGCAGGCCTCTCCCATGCGCCTCCTTGCACTGCCACCTCCAACCGTCGAAAAAGATGTCATCTTGTCCAAAAAATGACACATTTATGTGAAATGTCAGGAAGTTTACATTATTACTCTGGAAAAGACAAAACTATTACCCTACACTTTTGGATGACAAAAAAGTGATTAAATTTAATTTTTCCAAAAATGTGACTACTCTTTGTATAAAATACATTTCTGATTTGTATTACCCCTTAGTACGTTTTTTATTTTATTTATTTATGTTTTATTTTTATAAATAAAAAATTATGATTAAAGCATAGTACGGATAGAATGGAAGGGCCTGTTTACTAACAGAGATATTTTCATGTTTTCTACTTCTTTTTTTCGTTCTCCAATTTTCTGTTTTTATTTTTCAGTTTTTCTATCTCCAATTTTATGTTTCTATTTTTTAGTTTTCCATTTTCAAATCTAAAAACATGTTCATCAATTTTTTCACTCAGTTCTCCAACTCCACACCCTTGACCCCTACCCTTACCACGATCTTACACTCTACCCATACTCCCCCACAACCCTTCATACCCACCCATACCTACTCGTAGGGGTCGGGGTAGGGAAGTTATGGGTGGGGGTGGGGTAAGGGGTATGGTCGGGGTGGGTTGGTGAGGTCTAGGG